GCTCCTCAATGCTGTCCTAGACTATTATCTCTCCCTCCTCTCTAAAAAGTTTTATGTCTCAATTATCTAACTGCTTTAGTTAGTAGTGACCACCAGATCACTCCCTTTCATTCTTTGAAGATTTCAGCCCCTCTGTCAACTTTCACACACTCTTTTACAACACTTGACATAGTTCTTGGTGATTTCAATATGCTCACAGATGACCCTCCTGTCCTCTCATTTATTAACTCCTCTCCTCAAACAGCTTGTCTTCTACCCTGCCACAGCCATTCATTTTTTTCTGGTTACATCGTAGACCTTATTATTACCAGTAATTGCAATCCTTCTATAACCTCAACTTCAAAAACTCCATTCTCCAACCACCACTCTTTATTTTTCAGTTCACCCTCTACTACACAACAATCCATCAACCCTGATTCCTCCATTCTCCAAACCTTTCATTATCTCTTGATTCTATCATATTTCCACTGTCCCTCAGCTCTTGGTGTTTTTATTTTCCTTCTTACCCAGCTAAAATACCCTTAATCACAATCTTGGTTAAATTAGACTCTTCACCTGCACACACAGAGCTGAAAATGGGTAGGGAAAAAAAACACAAAGCCTGCTGACTAGTCTCCCTTTAAATTCATCATCTCAAATGGACCCTTATGCCAACCAGCAATCACACCATATGTATTTCCCTAGCTAAGACCATTTGTACACTAGAAGACAGTCCATAAGAATGTCCCAACAATTCTCCCTTCTGTCTTTAACTTCAGCAATTATTCTCTCCACTGGCTAATTCTTATCAGCATTCAAGCATTCTATTATCTGACCCCATGGTCTCCCATTGTTTTATCTCTCCTTCTTCAAGACTATTTCAAAGAGTTGCTTATACTCAATGTCTCAAATTTCTTGCTACATGCTCTCTGGAATCCATTCTAGGCTCTAGAGCCCATCATTTCATCAAAACAACTTGTTGAGCCATCATTGTTCTTCACATGGCTAAAACAAATGTTTACCAGACCTTAATTCACCTGACCAATCAATTGCATTTGACACAAATAAACACTTTTCCTACTAGATAAAAACCCTTTAACTTGGTTTTAGGATACAACACTAATCCGGTTTTCCTACTACTTTCCTGGTCACTCATCTTCATCTCCCAGGCTTCTAAATGCTGAGAGAGCTCTAAGACTTGGTCATTTTTTTCCACATATACTCATTCCCCAAGGTGTTCTATTCTGGTCTCACAGGTTTAAATTCCATTTATATATTGCAAATTTCCAAATTTCTATCTTCAGTCAGGATACCTCTCTTGAACCCTTTCTGCCCGCTTAACATCTCTGGAAGGCTTAAGAGGAATCTCCCAAATAAGCTCCTGAAATCCTCAGCAAAATTTCAGCAGTCTTGCCCATTTTGTTAGATGGCAACTCCTGTCTTCCATTTGCTCAGGCCCAAATCCTTGAAGTCATATTTCTTTTCCACCTAATAATAGCAAATCCCGTTGAAGCTATAAAACATTCAGAATCTGATCTCTTCTCCCAAGTTTGGTGTAAGCTATCATTATCATCTCTTACCAGCATTACTCAAATAGCTTCCTAACAGATCTCTTTGCTTTTACCCTCATCTCTTTCTACTCTAATCCTCAACAGTTCATTCTCAACACAGGAACCAGAGTAAGCCTTTTAAAGAGTAAGCTAGATTATGTCACTCCTCTAATTAAAATCCTGCAATGGCTTCATTCTCAATCTGAGTAAATGCCAAAGTCCTGAAAATAATCAATGAAGCACTGATCAGCCTCTGTTAACTTTCTGATCTCATCTCCAACTACTCTAGCTCTTGTAGTATGGCTCCAGCTACCTTGGCTCTTTGTTGCTCCTAGCACATGACAGGCATGTTCTTACTTCAGGATCTTGGCACTTTCTGCCTGTAATGCTATTACCCCTAGAGAGTTACATGGCTTACTCCTTCCAATCTTTACTATTTCTCAGTAAGTCTTCTCTAACACTACCAAAAAATACACTCAACTGCTTCTTCATCCTTCTTTCTTGCTTTTTCTCCCCAGCTCAACTATATGACACACTATATATTCCATATATATCTGGTGTATATGCACACATCTATTGTGCATGTGTGCATGTATATTCTGTCCCTCTACAAACACACACATTTTTCCCCTCCCCAAGTAGAATGTACTCCATCCATCATGAGGGTAGGACTTTTTGTTCATTCCAGTGGCTGAACCTGTGCCTAGCACACAGAAGATCAAACATTTCTGCTAAATGAATGAGAATATGAATTTAAATATAGTAAATAATTTTCCTATAGGTTATAACTTTAGAAATCTTGAAAAAAACCAATATTTTATAGTGACAGTTGTCCACTAAACTACATACTGAAAAAAAAAACCAAACCATTCAAAAGGAGACTAAACGTTCATGTAATAAACACAGGGTTATTCCAATAAACAGGTTGACTCTATTCCTCCAAAAACTGGTCCAGGTCTTGTAAAGATTAGAAGAGGAAGAAATTAGATGACTTGAATTGTCACAAAAAAGCTCTTATTGGGGAAATGACAACTTCCTAGGAAATGAAGATTCTTTAGTAAGCTATTAAAACTGGACACCATGCATTCTAATTTAAATACTGAATGCCTTTCTACAAATTACTCAGTGAAAGAGCATAATGAATTTGCCTCCAGGGGATAAATCTTTCATCACGAAATTGCTTAAACTTTATTTCGTTAAACTACAAAAAAAAAAATCAAACTATTTTAAAAACCAAAAGACTGTAAAAGACAATTTAAAAAAAAAAACATGGGGATCTTGCTATGGTGTCCAGGCTGAATGGACTGATCACAGGACACTACAGACTGGGACTCCTTGGCTCAAGGGATCGTCCTGCTTTAGCCTCCTGAATAGCTGGGACTACAGGTGCATGCCACCACCCTGGCTTGATTTTTACAGAAGAATAAAAACATACCAGAAGTGGTTAATAAACTGATTTATAAAAAAATAGTGATAAATTGTAATGCATTTAAGAAAAATGAACATGGATTCTTTGTAGAACTGTTAATTAACTGTGTAAACACTTTTAATTCAATTTCTGTATCAGTTTCAATAACTGGGGCAAGGGGATTCTCTACTTCTTTTTCAATAGAAAAGTGAGGCACAGTAAAGCTTGGAGAAGAAGATTACAGTTAACAGGCTCCTGTAAACAAAGAAGTATTTGAGGATATTTCAGATTCGAAGACAAAAGTGTTCAAAATTGACACTAGAACAATGACCCTCAGTGTCATTCTTCCAGCTGAGAGGAAAAAAGTGAGGCATACTTGGAAACATTTACAGTCTAAAGCCAAAGTAATTGTAATACTGTGTAAAAGCATTTCAAAGATTGCTGTTAACTAATGATGTTTAGTATCACATGAAATAGTCTAACCCATGCTTATGGTAGTTTATTAGTCTTATAAAACACGTGTAAGTTAGGAGAGGTACACGGCTCTGATTTCAAAGAGTTTTAAGTTTAAGACATTTAGAAGGAACTCTAACTTAATATTGTTTTCTCCCCCTCCCTTCCAATTGTTAAATGCTTTTCCAAACAAACAAACACAAAAACTCCCTTTTTTAAAATAGGGGAGAACTAAGGTTTTACAAAGCTCACAAACTCCAAACAGCTTTTGGTTCAAATACAGCTTTTGGTTCAAATACAGGTTCTGAGCCTTTGGTTACACTAACAAAGCATTATTGTTAGGTGGCTGGTATACAATGAATATTCTCAGAATATGGGACAAACTACTGCAACATAAATGCCACTATCATAAATGACTAGTTAGCAGTCCTGTTGGGAAAGAGTAAAAAAAGATAAAATATGTTATTTGGACAGTTCTTCCTCTTAGAGAATTTTACTATCAAAAAAGGGAAAATAAGCTGATGTAGTTAATGGGAGGTGGGAATTCGGCTTTGGCTGTCATTCATTCACATTACGTATTAAACGTCTACAATGTACGAACCCCGGAAGAGATAATAAAGGTATTCTGAGTAAAGACATCAACCTTGATCTCAATGAGTATTAGATGCAATAAAGGGAAAAATGGGTAAGGGGAGAAAGTGCCGAGTAGTATAAAAGCGTACCAAAAAAACTATAGGATTTCTACTGGGAAACTACTTGGGACAACCCCAGTCATAGCTGCGTACACGCTGTTCTGAGAAAAGCAGAGCGACATGTGGGCATCATTTCTATAAAGCCTGGGAGTGGACAGGGAGTATTCGACTTCATGGCGGCAAGATGCCATGACTCATTCCACTCACCAAAACGTGGAAGCCACGACTTCCCACAACCAAATATGCACATGTGACAATATATCCATTTTAGGGTGCTGGAGGAGTGTGGGGGTAATAGAGGATGCTGTGGGTACAGAGGGTGCTCTAAGTTCTAAAGGTGACTTCCTCTCCAGCAGGGTTAGCTCCACGGCGGGAGTGGGGTAAAGGGGGAGTGGAGACTACGGCATCTAGATCCATTCTCTAAGTCCCTGGCGGGCGTGGCAGGCAACAGCGGCGACAGCCGGGTCGGCTGGACGGGAAGACTGAGGCACCCCCAAGGTCTCGGCGTCGCCCGCGCTCCGGCACTTCCAGCTGTCCCGCAGGAACCGCTGCCACGCGCTGCTGCTGTCTCCGCCACCTAAGGCCTAACCAAAGGCTCTCGGAGAACGTCCCTACAGTCTTTGCAACCTGACAGATGGTAGCTAACAGTCAAACCTCTCTGGGCTATTCACTTACCTGGAGACAACGATCCCCTTCCGGAGGGGAGCACAGAGGCCAAATCTGCTCTTGCCTTCACTTTTCAGCCACACAGCGTGTTCTCACGGCCACCGGCCAAAATGGCGGTGCCCAGCCGCCGCTCGCGCAAGCCATAGGACGTAGTGCGCGCGCGCGACACAGAGCGTGAGGCGGAACCCTGGAGGTAGGTAGGGAGAGATGACGTCATTGTGCTGCGACCTTGTTCAACACCGCTGGCAAAGCCAGGCTGTTCGAGGAGGCCGAGTGGGAGTGGCACGGAGCGGCTGGGAGTCCTGAGAACCTAGTTTCGGCAAGGACCCGGGTCTGGAAACTGTGAGTGTGTGAGCTTTTCTCCGACGTGAAGCGTGGTCCTAGCGTACACAGATGCATTCGCCTCCCCGGTTTCAATCTTTTTTTATGTTCACGCTTTCCTCAAGGCCCGTGGGTCAGGAGTGGAGCCTTAGTTATTCTAGCACGCTAGAGGTGTCAATAGGACCAACAGAGTACGGTCCCGACACGGCTTGCTGTTGCGTGCTCTCCTAGGCCTCAACTCCCTCTCATTTGTGTGGTCAGTTCAAGGCCAGGAATCCAATCTTTTCCGAGCTCCGTATTTTATCCACTTGGTGGCGTCCAGTCCCAAGTCCGGCAGTTGAAATCTGCCCTAAAGATGGGCTTTCTTTCTTTCTTTTTTTAGATGAGAGGATATTCAGTTAGTAATGATCATTGCAGGTTAGATAGTCTCGCCCTAGATCTCACCTAACTTGCAGGCAAGTAACAAATAACTAGTTCATGACTGAGAACCTATTCATCTATTTATTCATTCAGTAAATTACTTATTGAGCATTTAAGCCTCAGGCCTTGCCAACGTTTACAGTCCGTTGTCTCTGCCGTTATTTAGTATCAAATGCTTGTTTGCCGATTAGAGAACAACTTCGGATACGATGGGAGGTGTCAGAACTATTGCACCTATTTTGAATAGCGTATATAACAATGTTCAGTAGCAGTGACTGCGCTACCAAAGCAGTTTTACATATTGTTCACGATCCAATATTGAAGTGTTTTTTCACGTATGCGTAGACTTACTAAAATTAACAAAAGATGTGAAAGATGAGGTCATCCTTTTTAGAATGGGCCACTTATTCACTTCAAAATCTTGAAGCCATTTTTTTTACCTTATTTTTTTTTTTTAGAGCATATGTAAGTGAACTTTTAACATTTTTTTCTTTTTCTTTTTTTTTTTGGGGGGGGACAGAGTCTTGCTCTGTTACCCAGGCTGGAGTGCAGTGGCACGATCTCGGCTCACTGCAACCTCTGCCTCCCGGCTCAGGTGATCCTCCTGCCTCAGCCCCTCTGGGACTACAGGTGTGTGCCGCCACACCAGGCTGATATTTTGGAATTTTTTTAGAGACAAGGTTTCACCATATTGCCCAGGCTGATCTCGAACTCCTGGGCTCAAGCAATCCATCTGCCTTGGCCTCCAACCTGCTGGGATTACAGGTGTTAGCCACCGGGCTGGGCGTTAAATAAAACTTTGATAGTTAGAGGGCAGGTATGACTGTTTTCTGCATCACTTAATGAATATTTAAAATGAGGATCTTAGGGGGGCGGTGGGATCACATCTGTAGTCCCAGCTACTTGGGAGGCTGAGATGGGAGGATGGCTTGAAGCAAGGTGTTCAAGACCAGCCTGGGTAGCATAGCTAGATCCTGTCTCTAAAAAAAAGAAATTAAGTAAATAAAATGAGGATCAATATTTATATATTCCTAGAATAAGAGTATTTCAGTCTGACTTTTCTAGGGCTAAAAGTCATTTGAATTTTCAGTCATAGAAGTATAGAACTGCATAGCATTGTAGAGTTAAAAATCATCAAGTGAACTTCTTTGATAGGAGAGGAAATAAAACCCAGACCTACTCAAAGTCTAGGCTAATTAAAGGAGATACTGAAGCCAAAACTTTGATTCTGTGCTCTTTTGACTACTATAACTCACTGCTTTGCATATCTGGTCATATGAAACAAAACCTGAATTCCTAAGATTTTTATTTATTTAAAAATAGAGGTGGGATCTTGCCATGTTGCCCAGGCTGGTCTTTAACTCCTGGGCTCACATGATCCTCCTGTCTCAGCCTCCCAAAGTGTTGGAATTACAGGTGTGAGCCACCATGCCCAGCCCCTGAGATTTAAATTACAGTAATTTAATTATATTAACTGCATTCTTCAGAATAAATGATTAATATCAGGGTATATGAGTTTCATTAAGTTTTTATTGATAAAAACCTTTATGTAGAAAGATGCCCAATTCCTGATATAATATGTGCATTCTTTTTTTCTGCATAGAATATTTTAAAAATGACCACACCAAACAAGACACCTCCTGGTGCTGACCCTAAGCAGTTGGAAAGGACTGGAACAGTACGGGAAATTGGGTCACAAGCTGTTTGGTCACTCTCATCTTGCAAACCAGGTAAAAACAAACAAAAAAGCTGTTGGAAATAGTCACTTGCAGTTTCCTTGTACAATCATCTCCCCTTATCCCAGGGGATACATTCCAGGACTCCTAGTGCATGCCTAAAACCATGGATAGTACTGAACCCTTTCTATATTAATACTGTGTTTTTTCCTATACATAAATATCTGTGATAAAGAGTAATTTTTAAATTAGGCACAGTAAGAGATTAACAGTAATAACTAATAACAAAATAGAACAGTTATAACAATAGAAGTAATAAAGTAATAAAAGTTTTGTGAAAGTGGTCTCTTGCTCTCAAAATATTGTATTGTATTGTACCCTTCCTCCTGTGATGAGGTGAGAAGTAAAATGTCTATGTGATGGGAGCGAGCAAGGTGAATAATATAGGTGTTGTGATGTAGCGTTAGGCTACTATGAACCTTCTGACAATACTTCAGAAGGAGGAGCATTTGCTTCTGATGATTCTGGATCATCAAGCCATGATGATATTGATGATTGGATGTCAGGAGCAGATGATGTTGATGACTAATGGTCAAGTAGTATATACAGTGTGGATATGCTGGACAAAGTGGTAGATATGCTGGACAAAGGGGTGGATATGCTGGACAAAGTCATGATTTATGTCTTAGGTGGGATGGAGCAGGATGGTGAGAAATTGCTTCGCACTACTTAGTGCACAGTTTAAAACTTACCAATTATTTATTTCTGGAATTTTCCTTTTAATGTTTTGAACCATGATTGACCAAGGGTAACTGAAACTGCGGAAAGTGAAACTGCAGATAAAGATACTACAGTACACTGGTCTGATTTTAATATTCCTTTTGTTTAGATGCTTTATTTTAATTCTGATGCACTGAATTTTGTTTTATTTTTTTAATCTTATATCTCTGTCCAATTTCTTTACTAATCCCTTGTTAGATTTAACTACATATGTCATAAGGTCTCCTCTTTTCCTCCTCTCTCTCTGCTATGATTCAGTTGTTATTTAGTGTTTTTTTTTTTTTTTTGGCATTTCTCTCAATTGGATAAGTGAGTGATAACATATGTCAGAATACTTTCCTTTTAGTCTTCATTGGGATAGAATTCTTGGGTGGCTGTCCTTTTCTCTCAAAAATTTATGAATGCTATTTCACTATCTTCTTTTGGCATGTTGTGGGTAGAAAGGCCTATGCCTACCTCTGTTTTTTTTTTCCTAAGTAACTTGTTTTTTTCTGGAAGCATCTAAGGTTTTTCTCTTTATTGTTGAGTTCATAGCATTTGCCAGAATATCTTTTCTCACCGTTGTAACCCATAATTTGATAGGCAGTTTTCATCTGCAGACTCAAGCTTGGAGAAATTTCTTTAGCTTGAGGAACTTTATAATGTTATTAGTTTAGTAGTCGTCTGTCTTTCAGAAACTTTTTTTACACATTATGACTGCTGTATCCATCCTCTCAACCAAGCCTCTTCTGTTTCCCCTCAAGATTCCCTTTTCTCGCTTTTTATGAGTACTTTATTGAGGTATAATTTACATACTCTAAAACTTGTCCTTTTTAGGTGTACAGTTCTATGAATTTTACAGACATGTACAGTCATATAAGCAGCATTATAATAAAATATATAACATTGCCATCATCCCACAAAATTCCCTCATGTCTCTTTATGGTCAGTCTTCTGGGCCTTTCCAAGCCCCTGACACCTCTAATCTGTTTTGGGTCTCTTTGGTTTCACATTTCCCAGAATGCCAGTATAAATGTAATCATATTGTATGTAGCTTATTGCTTCTAGCATCTTTCATTTAATATAATTCACTTGTGAGTTTTGCTGTTGCACATATCTGTAGTTTGTTCCTTTTTATTGTTGATTACTGTTCCACCATATGGGTGTACCCGTTTGTTCATCCATTCACCAGATTTGTAGTAGCTAGCTTTCAGAATGGTCCCCAGTTATTCTTGCCTTCCGTTATTCATGCCTTTCTGTGGACCTCTTCCAGATTGTATCAGGATTGGTCTCTGGGACCAGTAGAATAAGGCAAAACTGATGGTCTATGACTTTTGAGACTAGGTTGTAAAAGACATTGTGTCTATTATTTCTTCAATTATTTCTTTTGTCCTATTCCTTCTCTATTAGAATCTGGGAATCTAATTATACGTATGCTAGACCATTTGGTATTATCCCACAGCTTTTGGGTACTCCATTGGCCTGTTTTCAAATCTGCTGCATTTGTCTTTGGCTTTATTGAATATACTGATAATTCTGCCTAAGAAATTTTTCATCTGTGATACTATATTTTTTTTTTGTAGCTCTTCCGTTTGACTCTTAGAGTTTTTTTTTTTTTTTTTTTTTCTGTCTGTTAACACAGTTCATCTACCTTTCTAGGTTTTTTTTTTTTTTTTTAAACATCTTAGTTATAGTTATCGTTATTTAAGATTCTTGTCTGATAGTTCCAACAACTGGGTCTTTTTTTTGTCTGTTTCTATTTATGATAATTCTGTTTTTCTTTTTGTTTGTCTTTTTTTTATGTGCAGATTAGTAGATACTGAGATAAATAGTATTTACACCTTGAAATGGATGCCTTTTTTTTGTCATTTGTCCTTTATTGTGGTATTTGCATTAGTTAGGAATTGAGCTGAGTTTGAGTTTTGTTTTGCTATGGTTACCTTCAGTGTCTCACAGGCTTCAAATTCCTCTAAAGATGCCCTGTGCTTATTGTGGGACCATTGTGCCAGAGACATTTTCTTATTTTTCTGTATAATAGTTCCACTCCAGTTTTCCTGTGCTCTGGTGCACACTTGTGCTACAGAGGGTGCCTCTCGCCATGCTCTTGCCCTACGTACAGCTGTAGAATACTGTGTTCTGTTACTCAGTTCAGGGTATGAGAGGCAGGGTAGTTCTCTGTTTTCCTAGTGCAGCAGCAGTCTTAGGTAGGCCGTATGTGCCTGGCCTCAGCAATTTTGCCCCTCCTATTCATGACAGCCTTGTATCTGTGGTTGGTCTTTTGTGGAAGAGAGTTTTCTGCCTCATTTTGAGAAAGAACTGTTGTTTGCCCCTCTCTCAGGTGTAGAGGGTTTTTTCTTTTACTCATCTTTCAGCAAGGATGGATGTTTATTTGTGTCCTGGAGCCAACAGGGTTGATTCTCCTCCTACAGCAGCTTAAGTCCTTTGTTCTGTGGGAGAGAAGGGTTTGGAAGGAGGGTAGAACTTTTTGCTTTCCTTCAGTGGTGGTCAGTCGCCTCCTCTGTACCTGTACCACTGACTTAGGCTCTTTAGTCTCTTGCCCTCTCCCAATCTTTATGTGTAAAGTGAGCACCCTTGCAAAAGAGTCTGAGAGTCAGTGTGAATTCGCCTTGTGTTTGGGGCTATCAGTGTTGCTGTATTGTTATGCTGGCCTGCATTTGGTCTTTGTCAAATGATGAAAGTTATACCTGATTTCTTCTTATGTGTTTATTTGGTCTCTGTTCCTTCCTCCTATGCTCTACCACAGTTGGGACAATCTGTAATCTTTTTTCTCCTGGGAATGGGGGCTGCCCCATTCTTGGATTTCAGGCTGTCTTGTAGGAGTTTGTAGTTTATCCAGCTTTTTCTTGTTGTTTGGAGGGAACTGATTTTTTTAAATTTAAATTTTAAGCTTAAGTTCTGGGGTACATGTATAGGATGTACGGATTTGTGACATAGGTAAATGTGTCCCATGGTGATTTGCTGCACCTATCAACTTATCACCTAGGTATTAAGCCCAGCATGCATTAGCTATTTTTCCTAATGCTCTCCCTCCCCCAACCCCATCCCAACAGGCTGTAGTGTGTGATGTTCCCCTCCCTGTGTCCTTGTGTTCTCATTGTTTAGCTCCCACTTATAAGGGAGAACATGTGATGTTTGGTTTTCTATTCCTGTGTTAGTTTGCTGAGGATAATGGCTTCCAGCTCCATCCATGTCCCTGCAAAGGACATTATCTCATTCCTTTTTGTGGCTGGATAGTACTCCACGTGTTTACACTGTTGGTGGGAATGTAAATTGGTTCAGCCATTGCGGAAGACAGTGTGGCGAGTCCTCAAAGATGTAGAACCAGAAATACCATTTGACTCAGCAATCCCATTACTGGGTATATACCCAAAAGAATATAAATTATTCTATTACAAAGGTACATGCACGTGTATGTTCATTGCAGTACTATTCACAATAGCAAAGATGTGGAATCAACCCAAATGCCCAAAAGACTGAATAAAGAAAATGTGGTACATATACACTATGGAATACTGTAGGGTGATTTTCCCCTCCCCGCATTTTTTAAAAGCTTTTCCAGCTTCCTTTTAGGTTGCTTTGGAATTCCTTAATATCCATTATCATATCAAATATTCCTATAAATATGCTTAAATTGAACATCTTTCACTGTTTGATCTAATAGTATAACTAGACTGGGGCCATATTGTGTCAGTAATGAGATACGAATCAGTGCTAGTTGAACTCCTTTGGTAAAGTTTACCTTCTTTGGTAAACTAGCACTGATTCATACCTCATTACTAACACAATATGGCACCAGTCACTGGTTTGAAGAGAGCAATACATGTCACCAGTTCCCTGAAGATGCCCCACTGCTTTGACATCTTGGAGGTGCAGAAGAGATAGTTACTGCTACTACAGGAGTGGCAGGATCACTTAAAAAAGTGTTGAGTATGAAATTCATGAAGTTTATTAGTACAGTGTCATATGTCTTACTTCACGTGACTTTGAGCTTTGAGTCCATCAGTGAAATATCATTATATGATTAGCACTTCACATATTAAGAATGACTACTCTTTATAAACAGGAAGCTGCATGAGAAAGTGGTTACTCGATCTTTGCTTCTCTAGGGTCAGATATTTTTCAGTTTAAGTCAGCAGATGGTGCTGAGATTTGTAACTCAAATTTGTTAGAGATTGAAAGACAAAAAAGACACAATCCCTTACTGTCAAGGACTTCACAATTTAGTGGAGGAAGTATAGCTTTAAACTATTACTGTACAATGTAATAATTAATAA